TAAATAATCTGTTTTAATAATCATACACATATAAAATATTAATACATTTATTATTTTGAAAGTTCGAATTTACTAATACATACTAATACTGGTAGAAATACAATAAAAAACACGTTCATAAAGCTGTTTTTATTTAAATTATTGTAATTATTTACTAAAACGTTAATATGTCTTATTATATCAAATTTTAATTTATTTTTACAATTAGTTTTTAGTAAGAAAGCAATAAATTATTCAGAATCTTCATTGTCATTATTAGAACATTAAGAACACTGTTCACATATAATAATTTTTTTGAGTGTATCTTACATATAAACCTTATATACTTGGTACACCTTTATAAATGAAGTCGCATTTCTTTTTGTTCTCGAATAGAAATAAACTTCAAAAATAGTCTAAAACGTAAAGATAATAACATTTTCGATGAATACCCGTGAGTGCCAATAAGATAACAATTCAACATAACTAAAAAAAATAAAAATAAAATAAAAGTACAAGAATGTTGTATTTTTATAACTAACCTGCTGAAAGGTTAACGTAAACAGCAATTAAAAAAAAAATGCTGCTTAAAATGTGACTGTATGATGTCCGCTTAATTGTGTAACTGTGGGGTGACAATTCAAAGCGCACTATTTGTGTTTTGCACATTTTCTTTTGTACATTAAATTATTGTGATATAAATGCCACGAAAATGTGTAAAAATCTATTGAATTCATTTTTGCACATAAAAGTATTATAAAATGTATTTTTTCAATTATATAAAGTTTTTTAAATTTTGAGTTTGATTTAAAACGTATTATTTACAATAAATATTATATTTTGCTTTGGTTAAAGCAAATAGTGCGTTTGACTAAAATGTGTACAAAATGTTCTATTTTTACTAATCAAGTATTCTCATGAATATAATTTAATTTAATTTATTTAGTTAAAAAATTTGACTAACTAAGTATAATCTTATACTTTATTAAATTTATTAAATTAAAATGTTTTAAATTAAGAAAATATATAACACTTAGAAAAACATGTAGCATCTATTTATTACGCAGGTTTTAAAAATACACATTATAATGTATATTAATATTAAAAGAGAAACACCTTCAGACTTAAATAGATAAAATAGAAATAACATTAAAATATTAAAATTAAAAAAAAACAAAGTGAATAAAACATTAAAGAGGAACGCCTTTAAACTTCAATAAGTTAAAATATAGTTAACATTTATAACAATAAATTACGTTTAAACGCTTAAATTAAAAAAAAAAACTTGCTAGTCTACTAGACAAATAGAAAATATATTATGTGTTAAATGATACGTTTATTATGAAACAAACATTATAATAAAATAACTCAATGGTCATTATTTTTATCATATGCATTTTCTAGTTCGTAATTTTCAACTTCCTTTAATAATTCTCTTCCAACATTGGTATATCAAAACAAATATAAATAAATTAGGTGTAGATTAAATCAAACTTAGTAGAAATAACTAGTAATAGTTACGATGAATCATCGATTAATTAATACATTTATAATCACAATTCAATTTAATTTAATTGTTTAGACCTTAACACAAAGTTTTGGTGGGCTTAATAATTAAAGTATCAAAGCTATGTATGAATTTTTTTTAAATTTGTGTTGGCAATTCGATAATTTGATAAACAAATAACCTTTAGCTTATATTAAAATTATCTAATTTAATAAAATGTAACTATACAAAACAAAAAAAATCTAAGATCATTGTTTTTATAAATACGAATAGTACGGTTTCCAGCAACACATTTTCCTATACCATTTACATAAGAAATAGTGCATTTTTCATCGGGATGGAAATAGTACGTTTTAGAAAAAATTAATGTACCTAATTAGTACGTTAATATCACATTTTTTTAACTTTTACTACAGAATATAAAGTAAATAATACATTTAGCCCCAAACAGTAAATAGTTCATTTTGATAAAATTTATATTTAGCAGACAGTACGTCTTGCATCAACTGACTTTTTTAATATTGGTTATTGAATGAGAAATAATATGTTTTGACTTAATCTGATGACGCCAATTGAGTCACCGCTATTTTAAACATAAGTTGTAACTTAATTTTGACAAAAATACCACTAGTAGATACGTACGTTTTATACTTTTGCCCCACAATTGTGTTTTATAAACGGTTCTAAATATAACATTATTTTATTGAACTTGATTATGAAAATTTGTAATCCGTGTTCGTATAAAAAAATCATACGTTGTTTATACATTCTTTAATGTAGTATGGTCACGTCCCGAGTTGGTGGTTTATTTACAAATACATGTACCTATTGAATTTTTCGACAAAGCCGTTTTTAATTAAATATTAAACGAGAACTATAGATATCAGATTCCATTTAATCCATGATGTCAGGTACTCGATGTACAATCGAACGAGTGTAATGGGTTTGAATAATCAAAAAAAAATCTAGTGCTGAATTAATAATTTTCAATAGTTCGAATTATTAAATCAGTACTTTACTTAAGTTACGCGTGAACTTTTTCCGAAAAACTTCAAATTGTTGATTATTCTTCAGTATTTTTTTAATCTTAATTTAATTTAATTTTATATTGCCCTTAATTTTCTAGTCTCTTGTATGTCTGAAAAATCACAATTAAATTTTTGAAAAGATTATTATTATGTTTTCAGTTCCATAACATAAAGCATAACACTTTTAAAAACATTTCGATGTATACATTTTTGATTATCAATTTTGTACTTAGAATAAGATAATTTGATTTTGTAAAAAAAAAAAATAATACTATCTAGGTCATTGCGTTATAGGACCGAAATGAATCCAATTTATTGAGTAATTGACTTAACCATGAATAGGATATGTCCAAATACTTTTCAAAAATGAATAAAATGAAATGTAAGCGGTTTTCAGAAATTGTATACTTGCTTAGTATTGCCGGTTTCATTATAAACTTATCTATATAGAAATGTCATTCACTACAACTTCCAACAGTTTAGCTGATAGTATTGCACAATGTCTTATTGTGTATATTTAGTTTTAACGAATTAAGTGCCTTTTAAATTTAAACGATAAAAACAACTAAGTATAACTGATGGTTTTGTAGATTAAATCCACATCGTTTGATATAGTAACATAGTGCAAGCATAAAATATGTGTTAGATTCTATAAAATAGTAATTAAAAAAAAAAATTATAATAACACCATCGCATTAACGGAAAATCGGACGTAAATAATACATATAGATAGGTATACATAGTGAAATGTAAATGGCGTATAGTGAGTAAAGTGAGTTAAATTTAAGTGATAGATGGATTTTGGTAAGTAGGTATTTACACATCTTTTTATTATACTCGGTGGTTTTACCGGTTGTGTTAAATAACACCAGTTTTTATTACTTGCTCGCATACTTGACAAATCTGACAAACATTTGTCAATCGTTGTGCTTACGAGACGTATATGAGGTATTAAAATAATGTATAAGCGTTGCGTATAATTCGGCGGGTCATCCATGGTTTCTCGTTGGTTGTTGGTAAATGTCAAAGAAATCAAAAATAATCCCATTCACGTTATCATAGTCAAATCAAAATATTCTAATAGAACATCGTATTGTAGTAGTACAAGCCTTGTAGGACTAGTAGATCGTATGGTAACAAAACAAATCGGATATTGAGCGATGGCGGTAGCGCGCATTATGTTTATGTAAGTATAGTAAGTACTATTATAACGTTGTTTAATTTCTGCGATGGCGCCGTACATTATTATTTCGATAACCATCAATTTACCCCGACCACTCACTGGAAGGTGGCGAATAACGAATAACAAATACCAAACACCGAATAATGATACTAGTAGGTATTCTGTTCTTATAACTACGGTGAGTGTATTATCCCTGAATAGCCAATATTTTTTATGTACACTAATCGTGAGAACCTCAGCCAAATGCTGCCCACTCGAGGAAAAAAAAAAAAAAAAAAACGTGCATTACTTATTTTATTTACCGATGGTAGTAAACATGTGTGTACAGTGTACAAAATTATTTAATGACTTGTTTTAGGACAATGTGCCGCGTAAACGTCACACAATAATGATATATGAGTACTTATGCGGTACACGAGGAAATGTTAACCAATTTAATATTCATAGTTGAGCCGGACTTCGTTATTACTTATTATAGTATTTTAAGCTCAATCGACTAGGCGTATATCTATAATGACAATCGATTTCTTTTTCAACTGCAACATATATATCGCGATGTAGTGGAAACAATTGTAACGATTATTAGTTTTATAATTAATTAATTACTATTATTATTATTATAACGATCATTGCAGGTATATATATATATATATATATCGCATTATCGCGTGTAGATGTATATCATGTCCGCCCATCATCAGCGTTGTAATAGACGCGGTATTTCAGTTGTGTTGCCCCCAACTATATTATTTAAATATTTTATCTAATGAGGCTTACCACGAGCTTTTTAAATGTAATGGTGTGTGTATTAATACGGGAAATAGAGAAATACACGAAAATACGAAATATAAGTAACATACAATTTGCGGATTCCTTTTATTCAGGATCTTTTCAAACTCGTATTAAAATTGACGAGTAATAGTGCACTTAAGTAGGCGTAAAGCACATACTGTTGTCTCCGTCTACATATGTCGTGCAGTACGTAGGCGTCTAGGTAAGTGTTAGTTTAAAAACTCCTGCAGCTGTTACCAGATTTGGATGTACGTTTTTGAGATAATTTATCACGTCGTATTGATTTTGATTGAAACGTATTGTTGTCTAAAGTACGGCGGGGCTTACTACGTTTTCGTGATTTTATCCCGCATTATATATTATCATTTTATAACCTCGCGTATTGGCGCATCTCATAGCTTCACATAACATAATGTATCATTCATTACAAATCCTACTTCCCCGAGTCGTTATAACCATGTTTTAATATTACGTCCGTCCGTATGATTTATTACGCAACTCGTGTTCGCAGGTCTGGGCTTCGGCATGATCTATCTGCCAGCCATCGTGAGCGTGACGTGCTATTTCGACAAGTACCGGTCGCTGGCCACCGGCATCGCGGTGTGCGGTTCCGGGCTGGGCACGTTCATTTTCTCGCCGCTGGTCGACCACCTGGTGAAAGGGTACGGCTGGAAGATCACCGTGGCCGTCATATCGGGCCTGGTGCTGCTGTGCACGCTGTTCGGCATGCTGTTCCGACCGCTCGGCACCGTGGCCGCGGGCGACAGCGACGGCGACGACGACGGCGGCGAGAAGCCGGCGCTGACGAACGGGGCCGCGACCACCACGGTCGTGCTGAACATCATCGAACCGCCGGCGGCCGAGAGCCAGCCGCTGAACAACAGCGTCGGCGGCGGCGACGGTAGCGTGGACGCGGCGGCCACCCGGTCGTACGAGCACATACCCAACTCGGATGACGACGACGAGTGGCGGGGCGCGGGCAACGACGCGCTGCTGCTGTCGGACGACAGGCGGACCGGCAAAGGCGGCTCGGCCGCGGACAAGTCCAACGGGACGGCCGACGCGGCGGCCGCGTCGTTCGGCAACGAACTGGACAGGCAGTCGCGGTTCACGCTCAGCCAGCCCGAGCTGATCGCCGCGTCCGCCGGCCGGCTCAGCTGTCGGCTCAACAATCGGCAGCGGAACGAGGTGTGCTATGCCAGCCAGAACCTGAAGCCGTCGGCGAACGGCGGTACCGGCAGCGGTATCATGTACCAGAAGGACATATTCTACAGCGGCAGTCTGGTCAACGTAAACGTGAACCGCAGGAGAACCATATCGCAGTCAACTAATGCCGGTGCTTATGCCGCCGATATGACCAATGCAATCATAGATAATGACCAGTTTTCAGACGGAATCTGTTGTTCTGCCGACGCCAAAAATACAATAAAGCAAATGTTGGATTTCTC